CGAGCTACATAGTATTTTGAATCAAACGGCTGACTATGCCTCGACATATTTGAGATTCATTTGTTATAGCAGATTGTCCTTTAGGAACATTAATTTTTGCTGAAATATACTGGTATATATGACTTTGCCACTTTTCTTATGTCAACAAATACACCAAGTAATTGATTTACAACTTTTTGCAAATGAATGATTTTTTAACATGTTGCTCACATTGATTACTGCAGGGATCAAGGTAAGATAGAGTTGTTTCATTCTAAGAAAGTTTACATTATTTTTCAGGATATAGTTTTATACCTCCCAAAGTTGGAAAAATCATTTCATCCAAATGACAATCTGCAAAACGTGCGGTGAATAAATTACTCGTTGAAAGTTTGATATACCTAATAATAGATGTGAATCAAAACCAACATAAATCCTATGTCTTTGTTGGGGACCCATTTTAGTACTTTGACAGTACAACCGAAAACCCGTAAGTCAGAAATATTAGGTTAATGATCAAATGCAAGTTGTAAAGGTGAATATTGATAATAAACGATTAGTCTTATACAAAATATTGATGTAGCATGTAATGTGGCATGACCTCAAATAGAAGTTGAGAGCTTTGTATTCATAAGTAAGGATCTAGCAATAAGTAGTGAATGTTTAATAAATGACTCCGCTAAACCATTTTCCGTATGGACATGTGCAACTAAATGTTCAATAATAATCTCGATCAACATACAATAATCATCGAATGCTTGTAATCTAAATTCACCAACATTATGAAGACAAATTGTCCTGATTGAGTAATTAAGAAATTGAGTTTGTAATTTTATGATTTAAGCAAGTAATCTAACAAAAGCTACATTCCTAGTGAAAAGTAAGTAGACATGTGACCATCTAGTAGAACAATCTATTAATACTATAAAAAACGAAATGGTCCACATGGTGGGTGTATTGGCCCACATATATCTCCATGAATCCTTTCCAAGAAAGTTGGAGATTCAATATTGACCTTTATAGTCGAAGGTCTAATGACTAACTTGCCTTGCGAACAAGCCACACATAGAAAATCA